ATGGAAGGAGAAAGCTGGAAAGATGGGAGTGAGAAGAAGGTGCTTTACACAGTGACAAGTTGGGAGGACAAGATCATTAAAGGCAAGAAGGTCAAGGGATGGAGCCCACAGACAAAGATCTTCCATATTAATTCTGAAATCACTGTAGCTTCCAAGACCTTACACTTTAAAATTGTGTATGATACCGTAAGTCCGTTGATAATGCCCCCAAGACAGTTTACACTTGGATGTTCTGTTAAATACGGGCTTGAAGTGAAGAGCATCACAAAGTATGCTTCTTTTGCATTTGGACTATTTTGAGTATAAGGCAATTGAGAACCTGTGGACCATTGTAAAGTCCTTTATTTTTCCCCTAACTACCAACAAATAGAGTATCATTTATTGTTTTGTAAAGAAAATTTACATTTATAAAAGTATTTTCCATTTCTAAAGGTGTTTCCCCAAGATAGCTCTTTACCCCAGAAAGACTTATCTGTATTGTAGGACAAGGACACCTAGCCTTAATTTTCATCCTTTGTCTTGCCAAACTTGCTATCTGAAGCTCCAAAACCTTTTCCTTTAGCCTAGGATTGTGTATAATCACCTACCACCTGAACCACTCCTGGAGCCTAATTTCTTTGTGAAAGCCCTATGCATATTTAAATACTGGAACCTTTTTCTTTTGTTAATTGATCTGTTGTCATGTTTTTTGTTTATCTTTGCTTTAAGCCTGGGCATTCTAACTCTTGCCACTGAGCTGCATTCCCAGCCTATTATCAGTTTAATTTCCTGGATATTGGAGAATTTAGAAAGTGAAGCAAAAGGGTTTGTCCTTCCCTAAAATGGCATAAGAAGGCCCAAGGGTAATACATTATTGCATAGAAAAGACCCAAAGACAGTGAGGATGTTTGTTATACAGGTTCTTTGGTTTTCATCCTTTGAGACAAGGATAAGGGCCACCCCCTTATCCAAGCCTGTCTTGTTTTTTTGTGGTAGCATGCTAATTGGCCCTTACTTCTACACTTGCCTCCCCAGTGTTCACACAGCAGCCAGAGTGTTCTGTTAAAAACATAATTAGAATCATGAGTCTTTTCTGATTTAAAGATCTGCGTGCTTCTCACTGAGCATATGTATCTTCCATGTCTGTCCCAAATCCAAATCATTACCAAGCAGCCTTGGAATGCAGAGTTAGGGTGGATTATCAAATAAGCAACAATGTGAAAACCACTATCAATAAAAGGTATTTTAAATGCAAGTGATAATTTTTGGAAGCTAAGATCAGTTTGTATTCCTTTTCCATTCCATTTATAAGTTGGAGCAATCATCTGATGGTGTCTTGAGGTTCCTAACTTCTTATCACAATTGTAATCTCTTGGTGGTAACCTCAGTAACTAGTTTAAGGAGGTACATGATTGGCTCTAAGGCAGAGTGCAACTCTCCATGTAGTAGAATCATTCCTAGAAAAGAAATGTAAGAGAGGGGCTCTGAACTCTTGACTTGAGGCTACCCTCATGTTGATCAACTGCACAGTAGTGGGCAGGTGTCTGGCCAAGGACTTAGAATCTACCTTTTCCCACCTATGTGCAGTTTTCATTATATGAAACTTTGTTTTGCACTCTGATTAGAGGGGAGTATCCAAGTAAAAGGATGGCAAAAAAAAGTAAAAAAAAAAAAAAGAAAAGAAAAGGTGATATTTTAAACACAAATTGTCATTATAATAGACGTAGCAGGATATAGTGAAGGAAAGCATTTAAACTTAGCTCAAAAAGTTAAAGTGTAGCTTTGCTGGTTAGAACCCAAAAAGACAGAAGAGAGGGTGATACTCATGGCCCCTAGAAAGGGCAGGGGGAAAGAAATCCCATGATCTCATTTGAAGGATTTTTCAAGTTGACTAAGATTTCTGAGCAGCCCAGATAACATAAGTAGGTGGAGGGAGGTGAGTTGTGAAGCTAGTTGGAGATTTTATCTAAGGACTTAAGACTCTCTATTTATCTAAAAGTCTAAGGCTTAGTCTTTGCAGAGGGTTTGGACATAGTGAGTAAAACCCAATTAACATCAGCAGCGCTCTGGACATTGGCAAACAGCAGCAAGGTGGAGGCCGATTTTGTCACCAGGAAATGTAGACGTGATCTGAGTGTTTTTCTTTACATTAAAAGATGATGGCCCTAATCCAATGAGAGAAGCACACATGATCAGAAAGCTGCAGACCATGGGGAAGACTAACATGCACTTGACGGTAGTTGGTGCTTTAGTGAGTCACCTAAACCCAGTCTGCTGTATTTGCTAGATGTAAGGCCCCAACTCAAATTAGCCTAACCCACTCCATTTTGTCTGGCAGAAAGACTATATTATTTTGCTTTACAGAAACTGTTTTTCTGAACTCAAGAGGACCCTCACTGACATCTTGTGTATTCTGACCACATGATGTCATAGAAAAGATTGTACAAGCTAATAACCAACCAGCCTAGTGAAACATAGAGAAATGACCATTCAATATTCTTGCTACGCCAGAACCAAAAAACAAAACATCAGCAGTATATTCCTTCTACATCTTAAACATTTATAAACCTCAGCCCTAACTGGCTGAGGTCATTCTGAGCCAATACTTCCTAATATAGGCCCCTTTACTCCCCTGGAAAGTGAATGAAACTTTGCTTCTGCTTCAATTCTTGTTTTCCTGTGAACTTTTTCATACCCCATGCACTGGCCACATGGACTGGGACCTGACAGTAGAGACTGGCTACTTTGAGGTTGATATGGTGCTGAAGTGTACTTTCTTTATTTTTAAATCCTTATTATAATTTTTTTCATCTTAATATAGTGCATTCTTCTATAACATTATTACAAAAAAATTGTCCTCTCTCCCTCCCTCCTTTCTCTCCTTCCTTCCTTTCTTCCCTCCTTCTAAAACATGCTTCAGCTGGTGGTATGCCTTGGTCACATCTGTCTAATGTCTTGGTTTCTGACTTGTGAATTATGAAGGCCCAGCACCTCTCTGAGGAAGGTTGTGAGACCCCTCATGGGGAGCTAAGCAGCTGCTCAGCCATGTGAATTGCACACTTAGCCCAGTCACAGGGAAGGCAGACTTTATCCACAGATTTCTTTTTATATTTATAAGAAATAAATAGCCCTTGGTTTCTGTAGGCATAGGTGATTTTTCTTGACTATTTGAGGTCCAGCTGTGGCCTTCTATTAGTAGAAAGCCACAAAAACTCATCTCCATGTTGAGTCAATGAGTTATTTAAAGTTAAGCAATATGTTACTTGATTCTCTTAGTAAGTCTTGGGAGAAGGTTGGAAAAATGTCCCCAGAGGCCAAGCATTACATGGAGGTGGCAGCAGAAGTGATGGCATTGAAATTGGAATATTTTGGTTTCTGAAGATATAGGGAGATATCTTACAAAGGGAGATGGTTTACAAAGTTTTTAAAGGAAAGGACTGAAGTTCTTATTTACTTGTACTTTTTCTTTCACTGCTTCAGGAGAATAGAATTTTGGTAAATTGTTTACAGATTAAAACTTAATTTACAACTTATTTTCCTGATGTTAATCTTTTAATGGTTTCCCACTTTTCCAGTTTCCAAAATAAATAGTGTTGTAAATGCTAAGTTGGATATAGAAATAATGATCAATAGATTTCTTAACTTTTGCCCGGTTTTGCATTAACATTCTTTTGTGTGGTTTTCTTGTGTTTATCTGGCTTGCTATTCTTAGAGATTCTTCATTCTGTGACTTGAAACCTTCATCTTCTTTGGGAAAGACTTGGCCAGTATTTCTTTAAATATTGATTCTACTTCATTTTCCTTCCTCTTCCAGGTTTCTCGTATGCCAGGCTGTTTTCATCATGTTCCGTTTCTTATGTTTTTTTTTGTGTAGTTCTCTTTCTCTTCAATCTGGAGTATTTTTATTTTCTTTTTTCTTCACGATGATAATTCTCATCATTCATAAATTTTCTTCTAGTTATTTTCTACCTACCAGTCCTCCAGTTTACTAATTCTCTTTCCTAATCTCAAAATTTTGTCTCCCAGCTGAGAGACTGTTGAAATGTTTGTTCAGAATTATTAGAAACTTCAGGAAGACACCTGTGGCAGCCTCTCTGCTTGGTGTTCCTGAATTGTCCCTGTGCACATGCAGTTTGTGTATGCAAATACCAGGAGAGGAAAGGGCACAGGAGTAAAGTTTGCCTCTGTGCTGTTCCCTCCTTTCCAGGACTTTGGCTCCTCCACTCCTATCTACTTTCATAATGGAGCTATTCACACAATTGCTCTCAGGCTTTGTCTACTTGGAGGCTTTGTTCTTTGGAGGATGAATTGTTGGGAGCAGCCTCTTCATCAGAGACAGAACATTCTTCATGGATGACTTTGCCTTTTAAAAATGTTAAATAGGTTTATTGCAGTTAATATTTCAAACCATTTCACAAACTCAGCTCACCTTAAGGTCTTACTCTAATGAAATCTTTTAAAGGGCTTTTGTAACTTGTTTAACAAAACATTTTAAACTTCATATATAAACTTAATATTCCATTTTTTCTTAAAAGATTTGAGCTGTTTAACTATTGGTTTGATTCCTTAATCATTTTCATACTTAATTTTAAATCTTCCTAGAATTAAAGTTTGGCTAAGAACTTTGGTAATTACATTTTTATAAACTCCAAAAAAATGTGGTGGGGGGTTATGACTATCATATAATGTGTTTATGCTGAAGAGGTGTATCATAATATGCTTTTAGGCCAGACAAGGCTAAACCTCATTCATCTATTTCCTGCTTAATGAGTTTTAAGTAATTTTGATATTCTATTGACTAATTAAGTTCCAACTGCTTCTGACAAATTTGACATGTAATTGGAATCTGTGTACATTATAAGTTCTAAGGATGTTATCACAGTGATGTGGACTGCCCTTTGGAAGGAATCTACTCATTACAGTTTTAAACAGACTTGTTTTAAACATACTGTTATCTTATGTTTATAATCTTATTTAGCTAAACTATCAACTTACTGTTGCTTTTTCCTCTACAGAAAGGGAGAATCTCTCCAGATGTCTTCCAGTAATGACCAGGTTTTTATCACAATGTCACAAAGAAACACCAATGGCCTTCCTGGAATGACCTCCAGTGACATGAAGACAATTACTGACGGGGCTGTGTTAAGTTTTCATAACATCAGCTATCAAGTAAAAGTGAAGAGTGGCTTTCTCTGTGGTCGGAAAACAGTTCAGAAAGAAATACTATCAAATATCAAGTACGTGCACGAACTTTTTAAAAACTTTCATTTTTCACCTACAGTGAACTTCACGGGTTTTGCATATTACCAGTAAGCTGCTGTGAACACTTGTGGACACATCTTTGTACAGATATAAGGGCACATACTTTCATGCTTTTTGGCTAAACTAGGAGTGAAATGATTGGATCACTTGTTAGGGATATGCCTTAACTTTCAACATTTTTAAAGGGGGTCGTACCATGGGCAGTGATCTTTGTTTGAGAAACTGCACAATTAATGTGCTATTTCATTTTTCATGAGCAAGTTTGTGTGTTTTGGTGGAAAGAGGCCTGGCTATATGATTTTAGACTTTTGATTGTGGGAATGTAATTGTAACCTCTAAGGTTCAGTGTGTCTATTTCTGAAACAGAAGATGCATTGAGGCAATGATGTACTTTCTGACCATACACATTTTAGCTATTTGTACACTTTATATAATTTATATTCTAGTAACAAGAAGGTTAAAATGATAGCATATAGTGAAAGTCCTTTGTTTTTCAAATAGATCTGTTTACATGCATAGCCTATTTGTAATAGTTTGTAGTCTATACCAATATACTTAATTCCGTTCCTCCATAATAAAGACAGATAGAGAACTAGAGGTGTGGCTCAAGCAGTAGAATGGTAAAGTGTTTGCCTAGCAAGGTGAAGCCCTGAGTTTAAACCTCAGTACCACCACCACAAAAAAAAAAACAAAACACTTAAATACCAGAAAACTATAATTTAGTTGAAGTCCAAAATGATGAGAAATTAGGATCCAAATCAATGCAGTCAATTCTACTTTAAAAGCACCAAGTAATTATGATTTTCATTTTTTTATACAGCAGTGAATTCATAGTTCAGAGCATGGTGTTGTAGTAGGAGCTAGTGTGGAGAGGGAGTAACCATTTCTACAGAGTCTACTCACTATTGGGTAACTCCTATTCACAGGAGCTAGCCGTTAGGGTTGTCAATGGTCTTTTACTTCTAGAGAATATGGCCTATGTGTTTTGTTTGTTTATTGGGGAAAATAATTATTCCTAGACAAAGCAAGCAAGTTTTTTTTGACTCTCCAAAGCTAGGGGAGCATTTATAAAGAGTCCTTTGACTTGGTATGGGCAGCAGACTTATGTGCAGGTGTTTCTCCTATTTCCTTGATGTTTTATAGAGGACTATAATCTTTTCTGTTAATGCTAGCCTACTTTCTTCATAGGGCAAAGAAATGGCAAGATAGCATAGAAAATTATTGGGCATGGGTGGGAAAGAAATGATGAGAATCACAGAGTTAAATGAGAAGTGCAGGATTAGAACTCTATCCAGGAGCAACACTTGCTGTCATGCCTACTTCTCATCACTTTTTTGTGTTAGTTAAGGAATCCTAACTAGAAGAATAAGGAATGGCATGGTGGATCCAAAGCTTTTATCTTTTGCTACATGTTTAGGTAGAACTGACTTAATGAAAAAATGGACAGGCTTTTTCTAAAGCATAATAATCAAGAAAATGTTGGCCACTTCAGATTTGTGCTGAAAGAGGTAGAAGGTAACATGCTTTGAATATGTACCAGTTGAATAGGTGTAGAATGCATCCTGTGAGCACACATTGTGTGTTTTTGTGTGTGTATGTAGTGTTAGAGATTGAACCCAAGGCCTTGATTATGCTAGGCCAGTACTCTACCACTGAGCCATATCCTAAGTTCCCCTTGCTGCTTTGCAAGCTAGTAGACTAGTGACTCCATAACTAAGTGTCTCCTGTGATCCAGGCTTTGCAACATGTTTATGGCTTAATAGCCAGTGAGCATCTCAGCAAGGGAGGAGGTCATTGTCATTGTCTTGTGACTTCATAGGCTCATAAAGTGCAATCAAATCTTAGATTTCTTTTTATAGTTATAAGTACAGCTAGGGTTGGTATTTGTGCTTACATCTCTTTTTGGGTATCCATGAGAAAATTCATCCCTTTTGGCTATACTGTTTCCAGTCTTTCTCCTGTCTTCTTAGTGTCAAATAAGTAGAATTTCTGGAGTATAGGAAAGGTTGCTTTCATTATCTTATTTATATTTGATAACACCATCACCACTCAAAACAACAACTATAATCCAAAAAAAGCTGATGAAAATCTTTAATGTTCTTTGGAGTTTTGTTTTTCCTTTCCTTTTGTAAGAAGATAAAAGGAAAAACACAATCTATCCATGAGAATTCAAAAAAATTCCTCCCTTATTTATAATCTTTCTCTTATGCTTAGTTCATCTCCATACCTGCACTTTTTCTCAACAGGGCTAAAGATCTATGGAAGAAATCATCCATTCCAGTAGGTGAGGGAAATCCATTATACTTGCTAGAAGATTGTTAAATAAATAGTTTATTTTGAAGTTATTTCCAAGTTAAGCTTTGCAGGAAGATACTCCTTTTGCCCACATTCCCTAAATGTCCACATTTTAGTTCATTTATTTCTATCACTGTGTTTCCTTATGTACCCATTATCTTTAGTGTGTTTTGGGACCCTTTTGAAACTAGACTGTCCACTTGGTGCTCCTTTATCCCTAACTCTTCTAGTATGTATTTTCCAGAAAGATGTGCCCTTTCCTATATAATCACTCAGTCATCGTTTGGAAGTAGTTGACAGGAAAGTTAGCCTCAGAACAAAAGCAGTAATGGTCCCAGGGGCCACCGGTCACTGTGCTTTTCACATAGATGACTGAACACCACATCATGTTTTTTCACTCTCACCTAACCTGGTAAATCTTAGCCTCTTTCAACCTGGTATCCCATCCCACCCCAGGTGATGTTAAAAGTCATCACTTGGTCATGTTGCTATGTGTCACACTTCACCACAATGTTGTAATTTTATTCTTTGTACTTGATTGGTGTTAAGAAGGAAGATATTCTAACATTATTCCATGATCTTGTTCCTCATTAAACTTGGAGTCAGAAATTGCATTCCTTACTGGTAACTGCTGTGTGCCTCAGCTACCACTGAGATAGTTGTCGAAGGGCAGTTTTCTGTTCTTATCATCTTTTATTTTGTATTCTACTACGTGGGAAGAACTTCATTCATCACCTCTTCTTTCATTTACTGTAGACTCATGGATACATATTTTATTCAATAGAAATGTGTTATTATTTATCTTCATATTTCTGTTGTTCCTGATGAATAGTGGGAGAACTTTCAAGGTGGGTTTCACCTTCCTCCCTCATTCTTTGACTTGCCTCTCATTCTTGAGCATTTTCTTGGCACAGAAGTTTTAGACTTACTGTTTACTTAACCTACTACAGACCTGTAACCAGCTGGTCTTTTTTTTTTGTGGAGAATGATATTTAGAAACCAGAGTCTATGTGTTTAGAATGCTCATCGGTGTTGGAATGTCATTGCTTCTAGGCTTTCTTGATGGAAAGAGCGAGGGAACATATGTATGCATATGCCTGTATCTATAACTCTGTTTTTAAAAAAATACCTCACATGTGCAAGTATACTTGGATCTGGTCAGGTAAGAGGAGTGGCGAGTGGCAGCTCGACAGCACAGCACTCTGGAACTTTTCCATCTAACTTTCTCTACTTCTCATTAATGCACTAATTCTAATTTAACATCTTGAATTCTTTCTACATTTTCATGTTCGTAAATCTTCTCAAAAAGAGGAAAATCCTATTGTTATTCTTAATATCCTTAGTGATTTGCTCAATTTTTTAATTCTCTAATATAAGTATCTGTCCAGCCTCTAACTGCCCTCTGTATTCCTTATTCCCCCAACCTCTCTTCACAGCCTGTGGTTTTGGGGGCTGGCTGTTACTGCACCTCTACCAAGAACTTCTGTCATCTTCCTACTGAGAAGGGAAGGGGAAGTTTAATAGAGATGATTGGCACATTATTAGAACAGGAAATAACAGATGGGACTGTAACTAAGATTTCTTTCCAGTTATAATATATCTATTTTCAGTAAGTTGTTTCCTATTGCTTTTTTTTATTAATTGAATTTATTTTTAAGTAGCACATAAAAATATAAAATTATACATATCAATGGGATTATTTCCTAATTCTTGGATTTTTTTTATTGGAATTTTTTTTGTTTTTTTATTGGAACATTTTTTTTGTTTTCTTAGAAGTAATTTCCACTTAAAAAATATGAGATTCATTGATTCAACAAATTTTGAATGCTTACTAGGCTACTGGCATATAAGAGGTTGGTGATACAAATATGTGGCCTCTTTTCAGAAACCTTGTTTTTTAAAGGGGCATTGAGAAAACTAAAGTACTTTCACTATGTCTTTCTGCTGTGACAGAAGGAGTAAAAGACACTTCAGAAGTCCCTAATCCTGAATGGGAGGGTTGAGGAAGTGAAGGCATTGTGTGTGAAGGGAGGTGAGTCATGCTCCAAGAACAGTCTTTACCTCCTGTGTCCATAAACAAAACAAGATCAAAGGATTGACCATTATCCACTCAAATGCAATAGGAGTGACAGGGATTCCTTGGGTAAGTTTTGTTTCATGTATTCAGTATTCAGTGTGCTGCATGTCATAGTCCCCTCATGAGGAATGGTCACGGTGTGTCATAGTTCTTGATAGAGATGTTTTACAATGTAATGAGAGAGAACTACAGCATGTTAGTGCTGTAAAGCCATAGATAAGAGTGGGGAATGGCTTGAGAGGGATGATAGAAGGGTGGAGGGTAGCGTGCAGAAACCAGGGAAGTACAGACCATAGATTAGGTCAGGAGTCAGCAAATTCTTCTTGCAAAGGGCCAGGTCATAAATATTTTTAATATCATGGGCCATACATCATGTTGCAACTAAACTATCTTTATTGCATGAAAGTCACTATAGACCCTATGTAAACAATGAGCTTGGCTTTGTTCCTGTCACATGGTTTATGAGAACAAAGAACAGGTGACCAACTAGTGTGTGGTGTAAGAGGACTAGGACATTGTTTTTTGGTTTTTTTTTTTTCCATTTATTGTCTGCTTGTTTTGTTCTCTGCTGTATCACATGTCCTGTAAGAAGCTTGTATATACATAGCAGGCACTGATTAACTATGTTGAGTGAATGGAGATAGAATTAGCCACTGCTCTAGATGGGAGCACTCATATTTGTGGTGCCACATTACGATTTTGTGAAATATTTAGTGTCAATACAGGCCAACATATAGACCTGTACAATTCTTTGCCTTAACACATTCATGTTCAGTTTCTGATAAATCATTCTAGATTTCTTAGTTTTTATCTAAGTAGGTATTTAAAAGCCTGGAAAGTTCTTTAGGAAATGAAACCTCAGTGAGTAACAGGCTTGTTTCTGATCATTTTAGAAGCAATTATGAGGGAGCTATAAATAAAGGAGCTACAGATAGATGTATTATAAAAGTTTACCCAATTATTACTGGGTTTTTATGTTGGATAATGGTGGAAGGACAGTAAATGAGTAAAATTTTTCTGTGTTACAGCTTACTCCAGGTTTACTGAACTCTCATCATATTTGTACATTTCAGTGAGAGGTACTTCAGTTAATGAGCAGAGCAAAAGAAACATTTCAATTTATCTCCCACCAGCCATTACATAATTGTGACTGTTCAGGTACAACAGACAGTAAATGCTGAGGTCTTCTTCTTGGATTTAAGTATGGTGACCCAGGATTCCCTGAGAAGGTTATACCTCATGACAATTGTGTAATCACAGGATGGACTTCTGTGGCAATCACTATCAGAGAAAGGAAATAGTTGTCAACTTTGTCCTTTGCAGTTGGAATAGATACTGCTTTCACTGTGGAATCCATCTTGGTCTACTTTCCAATTCTATAGGCTGAACATAGATAGCAAGGTTTTGGATAGGCTAAGTCAGCTTCTGTTTCATCATCCCCATATACCTGCACTGGCCCTGCCTTTAATTGTCCTTTCCCCAGTTCACTGTATTTAGCTATGTCACCTGCTATATTCAGAATAACATTCAAACTACTTGCCTTCTTCTTGGGTCTCAACACATCAACATTGTTGTAACTTATTTTCCATCTTCCTTCAATCTGAACATTCACTGCCCTCACTCATCCATTCAGATGGTTGAAATACATTGATGTCTTCTGTGCCAATGAACTATTAAAGAATGCCTCCTGCTATAGAGGGATCTCCCAATTCTAAATGAGTGTGTTTCCATCCCCTCATTAGACATTTAACACAGAAAGAAATGATCTGTTTTAAGGCTGTATGTTTGGCTTTTCTAATTGGAAGGACATTTTTCTTGAATGTTAAGTACTGTGATACTTTCTTATCCCCTGGAGTGCTTAACTCTAGCCTTTGGGTTTACTACTAAAGATGTGTTGAGTTTTAGTTTGATTAGATATTAGTAGTGAGGTTATGCAAATTGTGATTAATTGTGTAGAACTTGAGTAAATGGCAATGGGGTGAGCATCAACATTACGCGAAAGCTGCCTGTACTTCACAGTGTGTGAAAAGGCATAAGTGGAACAGAGATTTTTTGAGAATCCATGTTAACTTATTTCAAGACTCTTATATAAGGATCTGTTACTTTTCAAGCAACCTTTTTTATTGTTGATGCTGGGTATTGAACCCAGGGTCTCATTTGTGCCAGGCACCAGCTCCACCACTGAGTTTTATCTCCAGCCCAATTTCAAGGAACCTTGAACACTCGATGTGTCATTTTTCAGAAGGTGTAAATGGTTCTAAGAAAGTTAGAAAAAAAGAATAAGTGAATAGAATTTGGAGAGATGTGAGACATTTTTCTTATAGTTGTTGGCTAGTGATTAACGTCCGTTGTATGCTAGACTTCTATTAATCAACAATTCTTTGTTTCTCTTTAAGAGTTGGTGCTTGTTCAGGTCACGTTGAAGGGAGGTCACTAACAGGAGAGGAAGGATAAAAGAAGGAAGTTAATAAGCTGAATATAGTTGATGTATTTTCTATATAAGAATGAATATAGAATTTTTGAATCTGTTGAAATCACCATAAGAAGGACTAAGGTATAAAGGAGGGCATATATAGAGGGCATGAACCAATTTGGGTTAATATATATATATATATAGAAATGTCACAAGGAAACTCCTGTGCAGCTATCTTATACAAACAAGACAAAAATGTCTTTTTTTCAAAAAAGGACAACAGGAATGTAAAACAGGTCCTGTCTGGAGGTTGGCACTAGTGGGAGAGGGAGAAAATCAGGAAACGGTATAGGCAGATGAATATGGCAAAAATATTACATACTGATGTACGAAAATGGAATAATGAGACCTATTGAAACTATTTCAGGTATGTGGGAAGGAAAGATAGAGGAGAATGATGAGGGGGTGAGTTCAACTATGATACATTGTAAGAACTTTGGTAAGTGTCACAATGTACCCCCAGTTCAACAATAATAATAATAAAACAGAGTTGGTGCTTGTTTTCTGTTTACAATTTCATCAGCGTTCATTGAGTATATTCAATGAAGATCCTAAAATAGTAGAACTTCACATAAAGGGTAACAGTAAATGAATATGCTTTTGTGTTTACAGTGGGATCATGAAGCCTGGGCTCAATGCCATTCTGGGACCCACAGGTGGAGGCAAATCTTCGTGAGTATAACAGGAAGCTTTAGTAAGCCTTCTCTGTGCAGTTCAGTGTGCTGTTAAATATTGAGTTTACATGAGCAGGTATTGGTTGAACATTTGTTATGTTTGTCTGCTCTGGTCCTAGATGATGTGGCTAATAGGAAGTTGGGTGAGCTTGGTTTTTGTCCAAAGGATCAGGAAGTCCTATTAGGTCAACTTTACTAATAGGCCATAAATAGTGGACTGGCATACAATTTTGGGCCATAGTATGAGCTAATGGGGAGGGAAAAGAAGAGGGTACTATTAAAAATAAAGAAATGGAGCAGAAGATATAACCAAAGGCATAAGTTTTAGATACAGGGCACATTGCCTGGATTTTGTTTACCGAGGTCTGACATACAGAAGAATCACTGTAGAGGCCTATGCTGCATGAATTAATGTTTTCTTGATTTTCTGTTTTTGAGCTTTCTTATAGCACATAATGAAATGGAAACTGAGAATTTGAACATGTATGCATATATTTGTATATGATTTTAGTTAAGTGACTGCTTCCTTGACTAAATTGTTTAATTTCAGCAGAATTTGAATTCAGAGTAATTAAGCAATGTGGAAGGCAAAACAAAAAGTACAACATATATTATTTTATAGGTTGTTAGATGTCTTAGCTGCAAGGAAAGATCCACATGGATTGTCTGGAGATGTCTTGATAAATGGAGCACCTCGACCTGCCAATTTCAAATGTAATTCAGGTTATGTAGTACAAGTAAGTATTAGTAGATTTGCATTTCTGTTTCTGGGTGGGCAGGCAAGTGACTTGGCTTCCACATGATTGTAGGACAAGCTCATAGAACTAAATTTCTCTACACCAGTTTTCATAATCTCCCCTTAGGGTGAGAGTGGTGTTAAATGGAAAGGCATAAGATCTGGAATATGACCCTTGTAGGGTGGTTGCAGTAATTCTAGCTGTTAATCATTCGAAAATGTACTACTGCTGTTCTTTTAAAGGTGTTGCTTCACCTTTGTCCTCCTCCTAGATGTTTTTGGCAAATCCTTGTGCAAAGGAGTGTGGAAATGTTGGTATTAGTTATCACAGTTATCTGTGTTTACAGATGGAGGTGAAATGATTCCACTGGGATCTACAGGTGTCTGTATGTAGGGTTACTGCACTTTCTAGAGTTAAAAGTTCACCATTAGGTAGAAATGTGGGTCTTTTTATGGATTAAGTCACATATACTGGAGTGATAGGGACGGTCATAAAAAGCCTTGATATGTGTCACTGAAATTCCATTTTGCCTTAAGGATGATGTCGTGATGGGAACTCTAACAGTGAGAGAAAATTTACAGTTCTCAGCAGCTCTTCGGCTTCCAACAACAATGACGAATGATGAAAAAAATGAACGAATTAACCTGGTCATTAAGGAGTTAGGTCTGGATGCAGTGGCAGATTCCAAGGTAATGTGAAAAAAAAACCTAATAGAATCATATCCAGAAAAAAGGGACCTCCAGACCTCTTCTGTGTGGATATCATGACCTTGAACAGAAGTTTTCCATAACATATATGAAGAAAGTGAGTGCTCTTGGTAAAGAGAAAACTGAACAGTTTCTTTATAGAAAGGGGGAAGTTCAGCGGAGACACTGAACGATGGTTGAACCCTGTGCGTGGAGTCTGGTCTAGTATGGAAAAGCCCTCCCCACATGGCTCTTTTGCAGGGTCCTTCCCCACCCTCATGTTGAAGTCATGGCTCACTTGATTGATGTCCTGGCACTAACTTTTCTTCTTCCTGTTTTTCTCTTTCCCTCTTTAGTTGCTCTTCTTCCTCTCTTCCTCCAGGGAACTTTTTCCATTGCTTTTTTGAGGTACATTTCTGGAATTGAGAAGTGACAAGAACCCAAAGACTCTTATTCTGTATGTTTTACTTTGTTGTAGTTATACTTCTGAAATTATATTCAACCACATTAGGATTTACTTACTTGTGCATTGCTCAAGTTATTTTTCTCTGACCTTTCTTTTGAAAGTTTTTATCTTTCATCCTTTCCTTCCTGCTTTATCTTCTTCCTTGTCTTCTGCCAATATTTATTTCCAGAAGCTTATCTGCCAAGCTCTGTTAGGCTTTAGGGATATGATTGTGAGCAAGAGTAATGAAGAGTGGACAAAGTAGCTCTTCTTTGCTTTTCTTTTTTTTTTTTTTGTGGTACTGGGGTTTGAACCCAGGGCCTTGTGCTTGCAAAGCGATCACTCTGCCACTGAGCCACACATCCAATCCATTTTTCTCTGGTTATTTTAGAGATGGTGTCTTAGGAACTTTTTGCCTGGGCAAGCCTCCAACTTTGATCCTTCCAATCTCGGCCTCCCAAGTAGCTAGGATTACTTGTGTAAGCCACCAGTGCCTGCCTTAGCTCCTTCTTTTGTGGGTGCTCCCCATCAGGGAGAGGAATTGAGATGATGAGTGAACTTTGAATTGACCAGCACTCTGGAGGTTGCTGAGCAGACATTGGAGCATCTAGTAAAAAATGAGCCATTTAGAATGAAATGCTGTGGTGTAACCCCTGTGATTCCCACCTTGGGCAATGAAGAATGGGGCTTCACTGGCTGCTGCCACCATGGTACTTGTGGTATCTTCATGTGAAGAATATTTTGTTAGCAATAACCTTGAGACTCCATCATTAACTACTCATTTTTATTTCTGAGTGATTGAGTTTTCTTTGCTTTGGCTCCATTTATTTACTGTTTTTTGTCTTTCCAGGATGGCACTTTATTTTATGCGGTTCTTTATCTTTTCTCCAATGCTCGGGATTATAGGGCTTCATGAATCTCAGACAAACAAAATCTACCACTGAGCTATACCTTTGCCTTATTTTTCACTTTTAAGCAGTCAGTGCCCTAATTTGCCTTTTTTTTTTGTATTTCAGGGAAAATACACAAAGACATTGTTGATCTCTTAGAATTCATATAATCTAAATTATTGAAATACTTTTTTTTTTTTACTTTTCGTGAAGCTTTATACATGACACAAATGTAAAGAAGAGCATTTGCTTACTACAATGATGTGATTGTTAGATAATTAATACTGTGCATGGAGATCCCTTAGTTGTTAATATCTTATCAAATAATAGCTTTAGCTCTTTCTTACTAAAGTGTTTTAAAGGAAATTATATAGTACTTTACCCCTTGATATTTGTTATGCATCTGTAAAAAAAACAGAGGCCATGTGGCTGGGGGCATTAGCTCAGTGGTAAGGTGTGTACTTAGCATGCTGGAATCCCTGAGTTCTGTTACCAGCACCAAAAAGTGAAAACAAATAAGTAAAAAACAAAACAAAACAAAAATAAAGAGGGACATTTCCCTATCTTATCACAATGCCATTATTAACTAGCAAAATGAACAATAACTTCATATCATCAGTTATATGAAGCCCATATTCATGCATATTTCCTAAATTATCTCCAAAATTCTTTTGTAGTTCAATTGTTAATAGAACCCAGTGAGAGCCATGAATAGTGTTTGGTTATTGTCTCTTTGGAAACTCTTAATTTCAGAGTTGTTTCCCACTTCCTGCCTCCCCTAAACCTCCTTTACCCCTCCAAACAACAATGACATCAATTGTTGAAAAGATTGAGCCATTTGCCCTGTGGAATATCCCACCTTCTGGATTTGTCTGGAAGAATGAATCAGGAATTCTGAAGTGAGTTAGAGTGTAGATAGCATCAGTTTAGAAAGTCTTATGGAGATTGAAAAGGTGTTAATATGTTGTGGTAGAATGTGAACATTCTTGAATCCAAGTCCACTCTTTTCTTGTAAGGTCAGTTAGGGACATTTGGCAGAGGCAGTGTGTGGGGAGGTGCTGTGTTGTTAGAACACTAATAAGTTACTATTGATTTATTCCCTTTTCCTCTTCTATCTTTATCTCCTGTTTTAGACTGTGATTTTACTATGCCAGGACCATGTTCTTTCAAGTTCTAACTTACTGTTTTAAAACGGAATTGTTAAAAGAATGGGCTTCATGTCAAGACTCACCACTTAGAAGCTCTGACCGTATCCTCAGTTTACTCATCTGGTAAAAGAAAAACCTCCGTCTCCTGCCACATGGCCATGTATTTGCTGTCTAGAATAATGAGGACAATGAGATAATTTGTCTCTTTCTGGTTGGTACAGGTTAGTTCACCAAATGATGATGACCATGGTCATTCCTGTTGATGCTTGTTGTAGGTTGGAACTCAGTTTACCCGTGGTGTGTCTGGAGGAGAAAGAAAAAGGACTAGTATAGGAATGGAGCTGATCACTGATCCTTCCATCTTGTTCCTGGATGAACCCACAACTGGTTTAGACTCAAGCACAGCAAATGCTGTCCTTTTGCTCCTAAAAAGGTAAATGCACAGGAACGTGAAATTGCACCAGAGATCAAATCTGAGCCTTCTACCTTAGTAACTGTGACTTGGCCAGTTGCTTGACCCTTTAAGTCTTATCAGCAAAATGAATGAAATAATATTGTTAGAAGTGCCTTATAACAACATTGTAATGATAGAAATGAAGTTATCTTTAAAGCATTTAGCAAAGATGTGGTAAGTGCTTAGGAATGTTAGTTTATTATCAGGAAAAAAAGACTGAAAATCAATTCCTAAAGAACCAGAAAATCTAAGTGATCAGTAAGAACTGGATGTGTGACCGTTGTTTTAATATTTACTATAACTGTTTCTCAAACTAGACTGTACTTACAGATTACCTAGGGTGCTTGTTAAAAATACAGGTTGTTTGTATCCACCCTAAGAGAGTCTAACACAATGTCTGTGAAGACTGTCCAGAAATGTTTCATGGTCAACAAACATTCTAGTGGATTCTATTATTTCTATGCACCATCCCTTAAGATGTTCTGGGTGCATTTTTTTTCCCCTTGCTTCTGGAGATTGAAGTCATGACTTTGCATATGCTAACCATTTGCTTTACAGCTGAGCTAGGCTCTACTACTGAACTGGCACTCTACCACCCAGCTGGATATCTCCAGACACTTAAGTCTGTTTAATGAAAGTTTTGAATTTAGGTTTTCCAACTACCATGTAGACAATATGAGATGAGATGAGACATGTATAAGACAGAATCAATTGAACTGGGAAGAAATAATCTAACAGTAGGTGTACAGTATTTTGCCAAGAAGTACCAAGTTCAGATGTGTAATGTCTTGTCGCTTTCTCTCTTTTAACATAGGATGTCTAGGCATGGACGAACAATCATCTTCTCCATTCACCAACCTCGGTATTCCATCTTCAAATTGTTTGACAGCCTCACTCTATTGGCCTCAGGAAAACTAATGTTCCATGGGCCTGCACAGGAGGCCTTGGGATACTTCTCACTAGCAGGTATGGTTGACTTTCATGTAGTTGGTCCTTCATTCACAGATTCCTGGAGTAGAACAGAGGGGTCAGCGGTTGTGATGCAGTATCTTTGCACAGGTGTATGTGTTGGCTTCCACCACTAAAACACTTTAGTCAGTTGGGTGACCAGAGTTTTTGTTCATTTTGGAGCACTTGTTTTTATTTAGGTCTTCTTCCTTTTTCTGTCCTATTTGAGTATGCATACATGTGTCTGAGTGTTTCCGCTGGGCCTGTGTCTCTTGTGCTTCCATTTATGGTGACCTTCAGTGAAAGCTCAGCACTTAACAGTATTCTGTCAGTTGAACAGTTTTGGGAAGTCCCAGTCTTCCTAACCATAATAGAACAGTGTTTTCCCATTTTTTCCCTGGCATATGATCTTGCTCTGCCTTAACAAGGGCTCTTGAAGATTCCACTTAATGATATAGTAACATTAGATTGTAGATTTAGTGTATGAATAGGTGTGAGTGACCAGTTAGCCAGTAGAATGGCTGGGCCTAAATCTGACATTTGTGAGTCAAATATCTGAGCTTCCTGGTTCTTTATCTTTAAGATTGAATTATGTCATTTTTTAAAATGATTTATGCAGTCTTGTTCATTTTAGAGATATTTGGACATGGTTATAGATGATTCTTCTTGACTTCAAATATAGTTCTCATTAACTGTCTTTCTTAATTCTTTATGCTTAATCTCTGTCATTTAAAACAAGCATATATGAGTCTAGAGTGTGTAGGGAACATGTATTTCAGAGTCTGACATCGGGCCAAGTGGAAATGATTGTGCCCCAAGAAGCTGAAGTCAGAGTTTAGGTGCTCTGGGCTGGTCATGTTCTCTTGAGGCTCCTGCTCGGGAATTATGGCAACATAACAGGTGATCATTTGGTCCTCTCAATTTATGGGAAGGGAAAGTAATCTTTTTGATATTCAAACTGCTGTTCTCAAATTTGTGAGATGAGCTCAGAGATCAGAAAATACCCAGGTATTAAGATTTTCTTTCTTGAATATAGATTTGTATTTTTGAGGCAGTGTTGATAAACACTAGAGCATATTGACAGCTATTTAGGATTCATGATTTGTAATAGGTCAGGTTAATATAAGATGTTCTTAGGCATCTAAGATTCCTTTGGAATTGTTTACTATAAATTGAATATAGAAAAGGAAAGAATATATTAGTGAGGGGGGAAAAGAGCAAGAAGATGGAGGAAAAGTTGGTAGATTTTGTCTTCCATAGCCTCATCTCCCTCGCTTCTGAAAAGCAAGTCCTCTTTATTTTCCAAGACCGTCAGGTTTGTGTTCTTGTGTCCTCTGTCTTCTTTCACAGGTTACCACTGTGAGCCCTACAACAACCCTGCAGACTTCTTCCTGGATGTCATTAATGGGGACTCCTCTGCTGTAGTATTAAGCAGAAAGGGAAGAGATCAAGAAGGTATACAAATCTCTTATATTCACAGATTTTTGCCAAATTGGTTTGGCTAAAGTTGAGTGATGTGGTGGCTCACTAGAATATGGTTTTGTGAATTCAAGTTAATGCAATGTCCTGAAACCAGTCCACAGATAGACTGTTGTGCGTGAGGCTATGGGTGTTAATGATTTAATTTACAAAGGAGCATTTATATGCTACTGTAGGGGAGTTAAAATATGCTCATTGCTTATTATGTTTTAAAAATAAGAAATGGCACTTCATGCATTTACAATAGCACAAAGCCAAGGTGACAATTTTACGTCGAGAATTATAGTCTGTATATTAAGAAGTATATTTAAGAATTGGATATAGTTAGGAAAGGTGCAGTGAGTTTGCTGCATTCATACAACTATGGCACTGGTGGTCAGGTCCAGAAGCTGTATTTTTTCAATGTGTAAAGCAGTGACAACAGTAAGGACTTTTTTATACTTAAGTTCTAAAATTAAAGAGTTACACAAGAAATGGGTCACAGAAAAACAGGTTTAATCAGTTGTCATCAGTTAGTAATGTTTGTTTCTTTATCTATTTTTATTCCAAAGCCGATGAGACCGAAGAGTCTTCCAAGACAGAAAAACCAATCATAGAAAAATTAGCTGAGTTTTATGTCAACTCCTCCTTCTACAGAGAAACGAAAGCTGAACTAGACAAACTCTCAATGGGTGAGAGAATGAAGAAGAGCTTAGCCTTCAAGGAAACCACCTATGTCACCTCCTTCTGTCATCAGCTCAGGTGGATTACCAGACGTTCCTTCAAAAACTTGCTAGGTAATCCCCAGGCATCCATAGCCCAGGTAACCGACCGATTGTTTTAACTATGCTATGAAATACTGGTGTGGGAGTTGGGAGCAAGTTGGCTGTGATGCAGTGAGGCTCAGGATCACATTTATCTTCTTCTCACTTTCCATTTATTTGTCATCTCCATTCCATTTTTGACCTAGAAATAGTCAATAGAACAAGAGAAATGCAAAAAAGCTTTTTCTAGTGATTTCTTGTGCTACCTAACTCAGATGTTTTCATGATTTAGACAATCTGTAGTGGGAAATCTTAGTAGAGATTTAATTTTCTTCAGTTACATAAAGTATAGGCAATGTTAATCACACTGGTGTTTTCTAGTAGCTGTCCTGTTTCATTCACTGAATTCTACAGCCTCAACTTTGTGAGTCAGCTTTATGTCACTGTGACAAAATAACTATGAAAATCAACTTAAAGAAGAAAAGATTTATTCTAGCTCATGGTTTCAGAGGCTTCAGTCCATGCTTGCTTGGTTCCTTTATTTCTGGGCCTGTGTTAAGACAGAGCACCAGGACAGAAGAACGTGGCAGAGGCAAGTTGCTCACCGTATGGCAACCAGGAAGAGAGGGAGATGAGATAATGTTCTTATCTTCTTCTAACTGGCTCTGTGGTGGTTATTGATTATCAATTTTTAAGTATTTTTCTCTTATTTTTAAGCCCTGTGTCACACAAAACACTAGTACTCCTAATTCATTTGTCCAACTTTTTTTTTTTTTTTTTTGGTATGGAGTTTGAACTCAGGGCGTCACATTTACCAGGCAGGCTCTCTACCACTTGAGCCACACCTCTAGCCCTGGCTCATCATTTATCAGGAAATCACTTTAGCTGGCTTGTTTTGGGTTGTTCTTTATGTTATTGACTGCTGACTTTCTGTTGAGCACTACAAGATGAAATGTTGTTGACTTTAAGGAAACACTACTGACTTCATAATACATGTACCATCACGTTTATATTTAAGTAATGGTGCCTTGCAAATGGATCTG